CTCATTTCAGACTCTTATATCTTATTTGTTTACACTTCATGTATGTACCTGTGCTGAGAGGAGCTCTTCGGGCCCGTAGGATGCGGTAGCTCCCGACCTCAAGGCTCTGGGTGAGGTCAAGGTCATGTAAGATGAGCAGGTAACCAGAGGAGGTGGAGATCAACATCTTACTGCAGTCTGGAGTCAGACGCATCCGCATTAGATAGCGTGTGTGGAAAAACTTCTTGTGTGGACAGCCTTCTTCTGTGAACCTAAACAAACAATGACAGCACAATGAAAGTACAATGACACACAGTTGCACACAACCACTTTAATATGCAATCTTAAAGGAATAATTGACAAACAAAATCACAATTTGCTGAACATTTTCTAAAAATGAACTTACCCTTAGGCCATCCAAGACGTACATGAGCTCGTTTCTTCATCGAAACAGATTTGGGAAAACTTAGCATTACATCACTTGCTCACCAGTGGATCCTCTGCAGTGAATGGGTGCCGTCAGAATGAGAGTACATGACAGCTGATAAAAACATCACAATAATCCACAAATAACTGACACGACTCCAGTCCATCAAGTAAAGTCTTGTGACGTGAAAAGTTGCATGTTTGTAAGAAACATCAATAACTTTAAACTGTTGGTTCTGGTTATAATGAGTCCTCTATACATAATACAGGCAATTATTTGTGGATTATTGTGATGTTTTTATCAGCTGTTTGGACTCTCATTCTAAGGGCACCCATTTACTGCAGAGGATCCATTGGTGAGAAAAGTGATGTAATGCTACATCTAGGAAACCCACACCTCCAAACCACAAAACGTACCTGTTGGTGTCCCATGTGATGACATTTCCGTCAAATCCTGACGTCACCAGCAGGCGAGTGTGTGTATCATACTCTATGTTCTTGACCCAGCTGGCGTGGCCATGTAATGAGCACACCTTCGAGTTGAGTTTACGCAGATCCCACAATGCAATGGTGGTGTCATCGGAGCAGGTCGCAAACAGCCGGTTGTCGAGAAACCTGAATAGTACCCAACATCAGCCAACCAACCTCACACTTAGATGACACAGTGGTCATCCGCATTAACTTTATGAATGTCCCAGACAGTATTCGTGTGTAAGAATGGAAAAACAAAAGGATCACAGAAGCAACTAAGTCATCCAAATTGTACAGTACGCAAATCCTAGTGTTCAACATGCAAATTGTTTTGAATTAGTTCCTACTAAAATGAATTAGCTCTTACATAAAAGACTGTTGTAGAAAAGATTTCGCTCATGCAACTGAGGTTCCTGCACACTCCAATCGATTATATACTGTGTGCACATGTACCTTATGTTGTTTACACAGTCTTCATGAGCCTCCACCAGTGTTTTGATATGTCTGGAGGAAACGGGGTCAAACAAAAGCACTTCTGTCTGCTCACAAGCAACTGTCAAAACTGACCTAGAAAAAAGCAATATACAGGTGTCTGTCAATTAGGTCAGAACTTTTCTATATGGTACATGTATCCTATTATAAAAAAGTGTTTCACTTAAAAGAAACTATAGACTAAAAAAATAAAAATAAAAAAACAGATAGCGTTATAAACGCTTATTGCACTGCAACAGATTTCAACAGCAGGTAAAAGTTTACTGGGAAATGTCAATACTATAGTACAC